GGGCAGCGCCAGTCTGACTGCCGAAAAGGAAATGATATAGTAAAGGCGAGTTAAGTGGAAAATCGAATTAGAACACATCAATATGCATGTTAAAAGAATCAGAATACTTTAGTATGAGGGTGCTATTACTTTCAGGTACTAAGGGTAGATATAAAGAAAAAGATGTTTTAGACTAAGGTAATATATGTAGTCGATGAATTAAATCTCAGCCAAAAAAAGAATGAACTGAGTGATCTTTGTTCTTATTTGAGTAATTCTAAGCCTTTATATCATGGTCAGATTGTAAAATCTCCGTACTAAATAACAATGAATAGATGAGATTGCAGAAATGTTTAAGAACCTCCATGTTTAGAACTACAATCACAGGGGATTGAAGGAAATTAGCTAGCTCAAGATACGAACTGAAAGTTTCCCATATAAAATGTCGTAAAAAAAAGTAGGAGCCAAAGGTTTAATGCATAGTACATGGGATGAGGCGCAGTATATTTCAGTAAAAAAACAGAACAGAAAAATAGGCCTAAATAGCTAAATAAAATTGGCATAACCTTGTCTTCGAAACTTGGTCGTGACGTCAGGAAGATCTCAAAGGATATCAAGGCTTTGATATACGCTCAATGTATACGGGCATGCCAGAAAAGAAGGCGACCATGGTACTGTTGGAGATAGTTTGATTAATATCCACGTGAGCAAGTTGGGGTAAGAATTCAAAATGTCTCCACTACTACCACAACTTATCATATAATCCATGAACAATTATTTTACAACTTGGTCGTATTGAAGAAAATTTATTTTTAGATTCGCTTAATGTTCCTGAGGCAGATTGATAAAAAGGTGAAACTCACAATGGAGATGGAAAAGAGGCTATAGAGGCAGATCATTTAAAGGAGAAGCTTAAGAGAAGAATATTCAGAAAGAAATTCCACACTATCATAGTCCTAAATTTTTGACGAGAAATGGCATTGAACGGTCACAACATAAGATGGAATACAAATGAAAGATAAGCCTCGTACGATGTGAGCACAGGGAAACGGAGGATAAGAGAAGCCCTACACACATTTAGTTTAATCGAAGGCATGAAGACAAAGATAGTGCGGTCTTTGTATGATTGCAGTTTCCTTTCGTTATATAGAAGTTGTTTGACCTCGTTTTCACAATTTGGTCATAATGGTAGGAAGACTTAGAGGAACGTACCTAGTCTGAAGTCCATCTTAATCCTTTGATAACACGCATATTCCCGCCTCGCTGATTAGGCCCCTAAAAATCAGGATTCTCAAGCTGGATGGGAGACTAACTTAAGGCTAAAGAGCCCAAGTAATTCTCATGATCAGACCTTTGCTTCATGGACCACGTTTATGATCAAAGACGTCTACTGTTAGCCAATTAGCTGTAGTCTCCGCCGCATCTATCGTGCTTCTATCCATAGTGCAAAGTCTATGAATTCATATTCTCTAGTCACTTGTATGCTAATGCACAAATGTTGCGGTTCTACATTGAACCTAATCAAAACAAGTAGAACTATAACATTTGTGATAGTGAAGGGATGATACGAGTATATAGGATTGGTAAATAGCCCAGGGCACTAGAGATATCACAATTGTTTAGCAGACAATTAGTCAAAGGATCGGCTTCACTTGTCTCTTTGACGAGTTGTAGTGTAGTGCTAAAAGTGGTAGAGCTCACTGACGATGCCAACTATGATATCGGCGAAACGCCTGCGAATGTACCACGTCAATGGTCCGACTCGTGGAAATTATCATACATAATATGAACTCCGGACTAGGTGCATTCCTCTAGGCCTTCCGACCAATATGACTAAGTTGCGAAAACAGTCAAACAACTTCTTATGCATCTTTGTACGACGCAATTTAAAGAACAGCAGATATGAAGAATAAGATAGTATGGCCTGCTGTTTGGTCGCAGTATCCTTTAGCTTTATAATGTTGGTTCTGTCTTATTATCGCAACTTGATCGGTGCGTCAGGGAGACCTTATGGAACGTACCTAGTACCGTGTCCTCTGTCATTATTTTCGTGATTCCCAGCATTGGAGTATTGGCTGGGAACATTCTCAGACGTTTAATCGGCATCGTCAGTAAGAGGCGTAATCGTAATCACAGTGACAAATCAGTCAAGGATATTGCCTTAACTTGTCACTTTTATAAGTTGTAATCTTGTGCTTACGATGGCACCTCTCACTGACGATGCCGGCGAAACGTTTGAGAATGTATCCAGCCAATGGTTCAATGCTGGAAATCATGAATACTATGGTAGAGGACACTGGACTAGGTACGTCCCACAAGGTCTCCCTGACGCTCCGAACAAGTTGTGATAGCAAGGTGGAACTAGCACTTAAAGAACAGCAGCTTTGAAGAGGCAAGAGTCAGGGATAATTTTGCCCACTGTTTAGGTGAACTAAGAAAGATTCAGGATTCAGCATGAATAGCAAAGAGGACATCACTAGAACAGTATAGTGAAGCATTGCCAGGAGGAGAATCCTGAAGGACAAAGTAAAGTCAAAAGACGATTACAATGGAAGGAGACAGACACATGACCCCAGGGAAAGGCCGTCTGTGGACATAAATATGAGGGGTCAAAAACGCCTAAATCAGTGGTTCCCAAACTTTTCCTAGTCGCGGCGTCATTTTTCAATTAAAATTTTTCCATGGCGCCCTAGCCTAAGTAGGACCATTCGTAAGTAAGAGATAAAAATAAAACTCGTGTATCTTTATTATTTTTTGTTACCTTATTAACATTAAATTAATATATAATAATTAATGTGATGGATGAGCCTGCAAATCACTGCACATTTTCTCAAATTGAAGTTTTTACAATATTTCGCGGCACCCCTGTAAAGAGGCCGCGGCTTCCGGGGGCGCCGCGGCGCACAGTTTAGGAATCACTGGCCTAAATGGATTATCCTCTTTGATGCGAATACCAGAATATAAGATTACTTCAAATCTGTTCGAGTCTTGTAGCAGAGGCCAATAGTATAATATCAGCCTGCTATCAGCGCACAGATTAAGTTAAGGCGGTACTCCATGACGTCATGCCTGAAAATGGTATTTACTAGCCAATCTACGAGCACATAATCGGGAAAAATGGGACCTCATAAATAGGTTGCACTGATCCTGCGAAAAGGCAAGATGAGTCGTATATTTGTAGCATAAATGTAGTGAAACTTGTCATTTTACCAGTTTAAACTGAATATTAATGATGGCGATTCTGATTGACGATGCCGGCAAAACGTCTGAGAATTTACCAAGTTAGTAGCCCGATGACATAAATTACCCCAATTACTGTGGGGTGAGGATAGATATCGACTTCCTTCAAGCCTATTTGCGACCAGAATTTTATACATATTCATAACTGTATGTAAATATTGTTAAAGAGCTTGGACACAATTGTAAAAGGCACATTAACCTGAGTGAAGAGCACAAGCCAAAATTTGAAGCACCTTCATTTCGTTTGAAGAGGTTAATGGTATGGATTCGTGAGTTGGCCTTCCCGGAAGTTGTAGAAGGATTTCTTTGGAGATTTGATTATAGGTTTGTGCGAATAGGTCCTCAGCGCACTATACTGTGACTCAGATTAATCCTAGCTGAGCTTTCGTCCATCATGTGACCAATATCGTCAGAGCTTAACGATAATTCATCAAAACACGAAGACAAGAAAGGTCGTATTTTAGTGAATTATCGTTAAACCTGG